ATGAGAAGGACCAACACTGGCTGCAACAAAAGGCTGAAATACAACAACAATTATGCAGATGGGGCAGGACCAAGCAGTGTTTTGTTCGGTTAGCACCTGTTGTTGTTGTTAAGTACCTTCAAGTTAGTTCCAACTCATAGTGACCCTGTATAAGGTTTCCAAGGAGCAACTGATGAGTTTGAACTGCCAACCTTATGGTTCAAACTGACCTTTTGATGGTGTGATTATCCAACAACAACAAAGTGGAGTTAAAGACACTAGGTTTGTTTTAAACCATTTTCTCCATCTGTTACCCTCACCAGGGGACTTTGTACAGCCCTATGTATGTATACACAACAAACATCGGGTCAGGGGAATCATGCCCCAACTCTGAGCTGCTTACACCTGAGTCACTAATGAGATACACCTGAGTCTCAATTTTCTCATCCATAAAATGGCCCTGAGTCTCAATTTTCTCATCCATTGTTTGCCCTGAGTCTCAATTTTCTCATCCATTGTTTGCCCATGTCACTCAGTCTCTGAATACTAAAGGACAGAAAGAAAACTAGACATGGAGAAAGATGGATGGTGGTGGGGGAGGGAGAAAGAATGAGTGGGAGTTCTAGAAAATACGATTTGAATAAGAGCTTGTTAAGATGCTACTTGAATGAGTTACAGAAATGACAAGTATGTTGAGGACGCAAAAGGCAAATAAAAGTGAAGGGATGGTTAGTTTTCTAACTCAGCATGCTCTCATTCCCGTCTTCTATGAAGCAACCAGTGGAGATTGCCCCAGATTTGTTCCAACCTTAAATTTATGGATTTGTGGCATCTTATGTCATCTCAACCAATCCTGACCCATATTTCTCTACTTGGTACATGTAACAACTACAAAGGAGTGTTGTAACCTTAATTGCTTGCAAAGTGTTTTGAAATCTTTAGATTAAAAAGCTCAGTGAAGTCCAAAGTATTAGCTTGCTGTTTGCTCAAGGCCATATGCCAAGCGTCACGGGGTTCCAGGAACTTGGGGGGTCTAAGGGTCCTATCCCTGGGATAAGGAGCCCTGCTGGTGCAATGGGTGAAGTGTTGAGCTGCTAAATGAAGGTTCAAACCTACCAGCCACCCTGCATGAGCTAGATACATCAAACTACCTCCATAAAGATGTCCAGCCGTGGAAACCCCATAGGGCAATTCTACTCTGTTCTGTGGGGTGGCTCTGAGTCTGAATTGACTCGTTGCTAGTGGGGTTGGTTTTTAACTCCCAGACTCCTAGTTCCTAAGCTACTCCAGGCACTTGGCCACTTCCCATTTGCTTCTGATGTCCTCTTTCCATCTCTTCAGTTCCTGGGTCACGAGGCGGCCTGAGTTACGCTTTCTTCAGCGCCCTAGGTCTGCTTTCCGGGGCGATCTTAACCCTAGTCCTGGAAAAGGGCACTTGTATCATCGTGACTTCTGTCCGCCTCGTCAGGTAAGCCCAGATGTGTCTGTCCTTATTCTAATGATGTACCCCGTTTACAGCTGGAATTCTGTCCGTGTGGCTGCCCTCAGTGGGCAGCAGGGAGAGACTGAAAGGGGTGAAGACGTGTGTGGGGTGCAGGAAGCCGTGATAGAATGCTGACAGTGTTGTGTTTTCTGGATCTGGTTACTCATTGTGTTTGTTGTTGCTATTGTTAGGTGCCATTGAGTCAGTTCCGACTCATAGTGACCCTCTGCACAACAGAACAGATCACTGTCTGGTCCTGTGCCAACCTCACAATTGTTACACTTGAGACCACTGCTGCTGCCACTGTGTCAACCCACCTTATTGGGGATCTTCCTCTTTCTCGCTGACCTTCCACTTTACCAAATATAACGTCTTTCTCCAAGGACTGGTGCCTCCGGATAACATGTCCGAAGTATGAGTGAAGTCTCACCATCCTGGATTCTCAGGAGCTTTCTGGCTGTAGGTCTTCCAACACAGATTGATTTGTTCTTTTGGCAGCCCATGATACTTATGTTTGGTGTAAAATGTTACTGAGCTGCACATTCACACAAGTCCCTTGGGGGTACAAACGGCTTGAACTCAGCTACTTACTGAAAGGTTGGCAGTTTGCAGCCATCCAGGACAGCAGAGGGAAAACTTGGCCACCACAGCCAAGAAAATCCTATGGCGCTCAGTCCTGCTCTGCAATGCACGGGCTCACCCTGGGTGAGAACCCACTCAGTGGCAATGGGTTCATATACTTACAGGCGTATTTTTCTGCTTGTGTTATACTTGGTGTTGCTGTTAAGTGCTGTCAAGTCGGTTCTGACTCATAGTGAGAAACCCATATAAGGTTTCCAAGGAACAGCTTATGGGTTTGAACTGCTGACCTTGGGGTTCACAGTCCAGTGCTGATCCGATAGCACCACACCAGCAGTTATACTTATGTAATTTTTAAAAGTCCAGTGTATACACTTATTTCATTTAGAGCAAAATTTGATGTAATATTGGAGCTGAAACCCTAATTAAACCCAGGTCCTTTCTCTTTCTGTCCTTTTGTGATTCAAACGAATGTACCTTTAGTTTATCATTCCAGTTTCACCGTTACAGGGAAAAAGAAATACAAGTAAATGCTTTCATTAGCCAGCGCTCTAATAAAGGAGGGGCATGTTGCACGTGTGGCCTTCTGGGACAAATGTGAAACTCTGAAGTGGTTCCCAAAATTCTATTGGACACACACGTGTATACTCTGTGAGTATCTTATGTTCATAACTCTCATCTAATTCCCAAGGGTCCCTGACCAAAATAGAAAAACCAGAGGGATGCTCTTAAATCAAGCTTATTTATACAAGATCTTCTTTAAGTGTTTCTCATATTCAAGTTCAGTCCATGGCACCCACAAACCTGATCACACCAAAGTGGATCCCCCCATCGCTGTGACTTTGAATGCCAAAAGTCAATGAGTTCAAATCTAAGGGCGCTTTAGAAAGTTCGTGGAAAATTTTCAGTTTTTCTTAATCCCACTTTTCCATGAACTTTTGGAAGCCCCCTCAGATCTGTCCGAGGTAATACATGAATCAGCTTGACTTCTCTCCCCAATCCCAAGGCCAAAGAGTTCTGCACCCCTAGCCCGCAACACAAGGAGAAACTATCAACGGCAGAAGCAGTGGAAATGCAAAGAAATAGACTATGCCTATTTATGAAACCAGATTTATTAAAATTTCTCTACAGGTCGGATGACTGTTGCAATATTCCTATGTACACATGTACAGAAAGGTCTAGTGTTTCTAGCATTCCAGGCAGAAACCCCTGCTAGCTCAGTCCTTAGCCGGATAATGTATCACAGATACAACCGTCAAGCAACCACGAGAGCCGGAGGCAGCAGAGCCTCATCCTCGAGCCCACGGTTCGGTCAAGGCCATATTGCCAATTTTCATTCACATTTCACGTGGTTTTAGACACGCAGGTTATTCAGACAGACACAAACAACAAAACAATTCTCAGAGCTCACACAAGAACAAGAACAAACAATTTTGGACGTAGGTATAAAAGGTAAAATATATGTACAAAGTACACAGTACCTGAGGTATACACGGCATTCTCACAATGCATTTTAGTAGTTTGCTTAGTTAGGCATAGCCCTTTAAGACAACTGCTTGTCTATGTGCCATTTCTTAAAATACAGTATGTTTCGTTTACCCGTTTAACCGCCTGAGTTCAGCAATACCCTAGACACCGACTGCTATTTTTCATCTGTCCTTGGTTTTTTAATGCGGATTGCAGTTTCCTCATGAAGCATTCTTTTGTAGGTAGTGAGTTCCCTCCCATCTATAGAAGCATCCATTTAGAGAATGGCTGCTTACCTGTGAAAGAAGCTACGGAGTAGGGGTGGAGGAAGGGAGGTTTGCCTTGGAAGGCAGCACAGAGAAGGGGCTGGACTAGATACTTTTAACGTCCCTTCTGAATTCAAAGGTTTGGATGGGGCATACTGATACATTTCAGAAGTGGATGGTACTGGTGTATTCATTACCCACACTACACTGGACATATTCACACCCCTCACGCAAAGCCACAGGTGCACAAACAACACCAAAAGCAGGCCAAATCCATGAAGGGTTAGCACGTCATTCTGGAAGCTGGGGGTCTGAGACTCTCCCAGATTTATCCAAACCTCACTTTCTCTGTAGCACAAAGGTGTTTGACTTTGGGGAGAGGGGTTGGAGGGTCTCCCTCTCTTTCTTCTCCTAGGCAAAACGCCCACCCTGAGATAGTCTGGGGAGAGGATAAGGATTTACATAGTTGAGGGCAAACCAAAATGGTAACTTTTCCAAATGCTCGAATGATTCAACAGCCTGCAGGAATTCTGACAAAAATCAAGAGGTTTTTGGGGGGACACTTTTTCATACTTAGCTGGTAATTACTTCCATAGCTAAAGAGAGGAATGGGGTTCAAGGTCAGAGAGAAGGCAGTAGTGCCTATGAGGTCTTGGCAGGAGATGGACTCTGCCTCCAAAATGGAGCAGAGACCTTGATAAGAATATGAAGAGAGAAAGCGTGTCAAGACAAAACAGAAACTCTTCCAATCAGGGAAGCTGGGGTAGCCAAAGTTTAGCTACCAATGAGGTGTTTGAAGATGGCAGTTTAATTGGCCCAAAGAGTTTGTCCATCTCCCTGTTAAAATGCGGTTATTGCCCAAAATGCCATTGTGTGATTCACTTCCTCACCCAAGTTCAAGTTGATTTTACTTGCCCACACATTGTACGATGTCCACACTCTTGACCACCTACAAAAGATATGGAGCTCCGGATCTGACAACAGCGTATTTGCCAGAGTTTGTTGAGAAAGAATACCAATTTTCAGGGCAGCCCAAAATTGTCTACTGCTGAAATCAATTAAATCACTCATCACAACAAACAAGAAGAGACACCATGTCCAACTCGGCAGCTACATTCTTGACGCAGTCACGGATCTGGTTGGCACCACACCAGAAAGAAGCTCTGACCATCTTTAGAAATGGAAATGCCATGTGTGAGAATTATGAGGTTTCTGAGGTTTGGGGATTAGCAGAAGAAGGAACTAATGTCACTGTCCTCCTGGTACTCTGGGACGATCTGGTCTGAAGTTCCTATTTCTGAGTCGACATATCCATGTTCCAAGGCAGACTCAAACCAGGGATGGAGTAAGATCTCGGGGGCAGCGAGTCTCTCCATAGGTTCTCGTCTCAGGAGGCTGCGGATGAGGCACCTGGCTTTGGGGGAAATGTGGTCGGGGATGCAAAACTGTCCACGTCGGATTTTGGAGAAAAGGGCACTGGGGTCTGAGTCATGAAAGGGATATCGTCCAACCAAAAGGGTATAAAGCATCACCCCGAGGCTCCAAACGTCTGCTGCCTTCCCCGAGTACGTCCCGGTTGTGTTTAGGATCTCTGGGCTCACGTAGGCTGGGCAGCCATGCTTGTCGGACAAAGTGTCATCTTCTCCCTTAATTATATGTGTATCTTCTAGACTTTCCAGTCTGAGCTGGGTTCTGTGAGAGACAGAAGAGAATCAAGCTATTATTTCCAGGCCAGCTGCTATAAAAAACAAGGTCATTCAGCATGGCACCTAAGGACATTCATAGCAAAGGCCCAGGGAAGGCCATGACCCCTTCATTCAGTAAGCAGTGCCTACAACCATCCAGGACTCGAGTTTTCACAAACCAGTGCCAACTGCAATCGCATCTGAAAAGCTGGAGAGTGAGTGAGTCTGAGGTAGAGGATATGGTGCAAAGCCCCAGATACTATAGACGATGCTGGAACTTACAAGAGACCGCTGAATAGGACTTACACAACTAGCCAAGTTTATACTGCAGAATTGGGAGCTTGTCTCAGCAGAATGCGAGCATTGTCTGCAAATGCCATCAGGAGGAAACAGTATACCCTCCACCTGAAGGAACTATGCCACACTTTGCATCACAAAACAGCAACACATCACTGTCATTGTCACTGACCCAGGTTGTAAGCACTGAGCTCACATCCACATCCACACATGGGGGAACTTGGCCCATGTGGGGCCGGGCCGGCTGGAGAACTATGATGAGAAAGTTGCAAGGAATGTTAATTACATTTCTCCAAGTGTTGGGATTGAGTTGCAAAGAATGTCTCCCCTAAATGAAGAGTTTGATGAATTTGAGGGAAGCAGGGAGGCCAAAACCCCGACCCACATACATGCACACCTGTCCCAGGATAGCACATCAACATATAACACAAGCGTACTTTTTCTATCTGTTCAGGTAACAACCAGTGTGTGAATAACTTCTTGTCCAAAGCTCTCTTAAGAAGGTGCTGCAGATGCCTCCTGATTTATTTCCACCCACCCAGGCCTCCCAATCCCCCAAAGCCAGATGGGGGAACTTCTAATATTAAATGGCAACTTGTTTCTCTGAAATAGCCCTGTTTCAGTAAAGCATTTGATACTAGCTGATGGGTCAATTCCTTTTCCTCTCAAGGTCTCAGATTTTTTTTCTTCTTCTTCTTCCTGCCTTCCTGTTCCCTGGAGTGTAGTATACATGTGCTAACTTTGGTATGTCCTCAGCATGACCTCCCGTCGTTATGTAAAATACCCATTGGTTCTGTAAACGGAAAATATGACTCAACTCACGCTGTCTGCCCCTGATTGGCTGCTGCAGTATTAAAACTCTGCACCTGTGCTGGTTGCCCGAATCGCGTCAGCCTGCCATTGCTTAACCCTCAGCTTGCCAAACCCCATGCCCATGCCATTCGTCTGTGCAATGAGGATTTCAAAAGCTAGCAAGGAGGTGTGTAAGGCATGTTTCAGAAAATGCATCACCGTATCAAAGGAGCGTGTGCCAGGAACTGAAAACTTCTTCATTGCAAACAGCTTGCTTTTCTTTGCTAATCACTATGTTCCAATCAATATTGCAAGGTGAGATACAAAGTCATATGCTCTGTGCTTTTTCATATGATCCAGAGTTAAAGGTTTAGAAAAACAAAACAAAATGCACGGATGGGGTAAGCCTTGTGTGAATGAACAGCCAGAACAAACACAACTACATCCACCTGTACCAGTCTACAACATTATTGCTTTTCACCAGAACGTGGTCCATCTCTTTACTGTGACTTCCTGAATCCTCTTTAAGAGTCTGAAACCTCAACTCTGAGTCTCCTGTCTCCTTCTCCAGCTCATCTTATCCTATATGAAGTAAGCCATGATCTGTATTTAGCAATCAATCCCAGCCAATCCCCACATATTATTCAATGTCACTATTTTCTGAAACTGTAGTAAAACAAGATGTCTAAAAAGTCACCCTAGGAAGTGAAGAAAGTCTCAGGGACCAAGCAAACCTGAGGCCAGCCGGGGTATAGGGGAGGATGGGATTCTGCAAATACAGTAGGCTCATCTAACCAGCTCATTGATACCTTTTAAGTACAAAAAATCAAAAGCACTCCCAACACTCCATAGAAGCAAAGATCTGCAAAAGCTTCCTCTAGGAGTCAATATTGCAAAAGATGGGTTGACATTTGCACCCCAGAAGTGGCCTTTCAGACAACAGTGGGGAATGAACCTGATCCCTGGAGCTGGAAGTGGGGAGGGCATCCGGCCATCACGTGGCATCCTGCAGATGCACCGAGGTGTCCCCAGACGACATTCACAAAAACACAAAATGAACCAACCTTGGCCGTGACTGACTTCTCAGGAGCAGGAATTCTAAATTCTAAATCTGGGGCAGACAAGTCAGCCCTTGGTTTTGTATTGAACCAATACACTGCCCCTAACTGACTCAACCTGCCACCCAAGTCATGGCTCCGAAAGGCTGCAAGGAGGGGCTGCGGTGGCCCTCACCTCTCCTCCGTGGAAAAGACGAATTTCCTAAGTTTCAGGTCCCCCAGTACAATGGCCGACTGGTGGCAGTGGGCAACAGCGCTGACAATCTGCTTGAAGAGTCGCGCAGCCTCCTCTTCCCGCAGCCTCTTCCGGCTTCGCACGTAGGAGTGCATGTCCCCAAAGTCCTTCTCAAAGAAGACGTAGGCCTTGGTGTCCCCCAGGATCACTTCCACGATGCCGGTGATGTTGCTGTGTGATGGCAGTTGGATGTATGGCCTGATTTTGTCCTGGTAGTGTTTAATTGGAAAGACCTGCAGAGAGAGGGCAGTCCATTATAGGAGGCTGGAAAAGTGGAGGCTGCCTTCCCAGTCCTGGCTGGCAATCTGGGGGCTCTAGCTCCATTCCTTCTCTGCGCCACACCACTCTACACTGTCCCAGCTGCCCCTACCACCAGCCCAACTCATGGCAGCCTCGATTCATGGCACCCTTTGTGTCAAGAGTAGAACTGTGCTCCGTAGGGTTGTTGATGGCTGATGTCCCAGAAATAGTTGCCAGACGTCGCTTCTGAGGCACCTAGACTTGAACCTACAACCTTACAATTAGTAACCAAGCACATTAACCATCTGCACCACCCAGGGACTCTAACCTGTAACATCCAGTACTCTAGGCTGGCAACCATCCAAAAAGGTTACCCTCTTTGTAGGGGTTGCTTGAAAGAATTGGCTTCACTACATGTTCCCATCTTCCATTGGACCACCAGCTGACAGACCCCAACCATCTTGTGTCCCTTCCTTGTTTGCAGTAATGTTGCTAAGGACCATGTAAGACACCTCTTTGGGTCTACAGGAGCAAAAACCAGTCCCTGGAAGTGTGTGTGCTTCTTGCACACCCAAAGAGCTCAACACTAAGGGCACAGAGTCTCTGCGGGGAAACGGGAGCTGGAGAGCTGGCAGCTCTGTCATCAGCCAGGAGGAACCAAGGACTTGGAGGAAGAGGGAGCCTGGGACACTAAGGCCTTAAGCTGCTTGCCTACAGTCTGACTCAGGTATAAGCTTCCCAGAATCAGAGTTTCACAGAGGTAGGGCAGCCTGTGAGTGGGGTTTGGTGTGTTTGTTGTTGTGTTTTTTTCATGTGTTTATTCTCCACCCACCCACACCCCACAGGAAATTGGTAGTATCTCCTCTAAGAAGCCGGCTGGGCTCTTTAAGTCTCTTTTGTTTAGTCCGGTTACTCATATTCTAGACTCAACTGGAAACGGTGACACACGGGCTGTCACCATCTGGATTCAGCTATTATCTGCTCAGAGGAACTGGAAGGAGTTGCACAATGGCTAGACCCACCCCACCACTGAAGCTTGGCTGCTTTGGTATTAGCCAGAAAAATTCCTCTCACGCCCCCTCCTCTCGCCCTACCCCAGACCCTAACGCACACAACTCGTCCTATAACAGCTCAGAGCCATAGCTACCAAGAAAGTCAGATTTTTTTTTTATCCCCCCCCCCCCTTTAAACAGGACTTGGGCGTGCATTTGAAATTTCATTTCGCTCGGGCGGTAGGTGGCAGCAGCAAGCCAAGGGACTGGAGAAGTCAGGTGAGTTGTAGAAAACCCCGGGCGACTTTAACTGAGGGTGACCCCGCTTAAGGATGAAAGGATCGAATCCACCCAGGGGCTCTCAGGAGGGAACGGAGGTGTCAGGCTCACAAAGGACGGGCCGCGAGTATGCCCTGCTCCCAGGGAAACTGGTGGAGGAAGCGGGGACCGGGTTTCTAGAAGTTGTATCTCCAACTCCGGGATTGGGGATCCCTTATGTTCAAATACAGATTGCTGGCCAGGAAATAAAAGCTGTGAATGGAAGCGGGGGTTCCAAGTCGGTGCAGGCTTTCCAACACTCCTACTCCAAGCAGATCCACCCTTACCCCGCGCCCGCCTCGGCTGTAAACCCTGGAAGGGCGCGGAGGATCTGTCGCAGACCGTGTCAAGTTAGAACCCTAAGACCGGAGCCCAACACCATCCCTTTAACCCCCGCAGCTGAGTCCCGGCGCCTTGAAACCCAGGGCAGGGAGCCGCCAGCTGCTCCAGGCTCCAAGAGGTATCAATAGTAGGCCTCTTTCGGAGGGGGGGTGGGGGGCAAGAGAATGAGAGCAGGGGAAAGGCACGCCTTGGAATCCATTTCAATTCCACAACTTATAAGGAACTCCACGCGCTCCGCTGGGCACCAAGGAAAGGAATAGTGAAATCAAACTGAGGAGGGCACTTCCTCTTCATTCCGAGCCCCCCCCCATTATATATACAACGACCCCCTCAACCCCCCACAGGGTGACTCGGTCAATTGCTGCATTACGGGACTGGATCCACATATTCGCCCTGCCCCTAACCTTTGGTGGTCCCTGCGACACCCCAAGCCCCTCAGCCCGCCACCGTCCCCCCCCCCCAAGTCCCCCACCGGGTCCTGGTCTCTGGGCGCCTACCTTGCAACGTAGCTCGCGGCCGGTGTGGATGCACAGCGCCCGAGACACATGCTCGCGCTCGGCCAAGGGCAGCAGCAGGTAGTCGGCGATGCGGCTGGGCCCCGGAGTGCTCCCGGAGCCGCAGCCGGTCCCTGGAGCGGCGGGCGGAGGCTGTGGACTGCAGGGAGAGCCCGGGGGGCTGAGGTAGTCCGGGGGACTCGGGCATTCAGAGAGGCGCGGACACTTGGCCGCCACGGTCGCCGAGTCGTCCGCATCCAGCAGGCGCTTGGCCGGGGCGCCCCGGACGGCCGGGAGCAACAAGACCCGGCCGCGGGGCTGCGAAGCGCTGCTCATGGCTGAGCGCACCGGGCCCGCCCGCATCCCGTCCCGGGCCGAAGCGGCTCCGGCTTCGTGCGTCCGGGGACCCGCGCGGGAAGGCGCTGCGGGCTCGGCGCCGCGACTTCTTCCAGCCCGCTGGACGGAGTTTACAGTCCGGGTTTGGCTCGGCTCCTACGGGGGACAGAGCAGGAGTTGCTCCCGGACGCTCAAGCTGCACGCAGGGACCACGCTGGCCGTGCGTCTGGGAGCCAGAGGCCAGTTCGGGTCCTTGGATCCCCAAGGGCAACGGCTTGGGACGCTTAGCCGAAGGCGGCAGAGCTATTGTTGCTGCAGCTGCCTACAGTCGAAGAAACAGAGGCAGAGGCTGGCGCTCCCCGGACACCGAGCCGCGAGTACAGATTCCGAGAGATCCGATGCGCCTGTGACCCAATGCACTTTCCAAAGCAAGAAGTCTCGGAGCCAAAGCTGGAGCAACTTTTCCGCGGCGCTCCGAGTCCTGCGCGCTCTTGGGCTCCGGGCGTGTGAGCGAGCGCGACGCGCTAGGAGAGAGTGACTGAGTGTGAGTGAGTGTGTCGCCGCACCGACCCCGGCCAGTGCACGCCTCCTTTTTTCCTCCACCTCCTCCGCCTCCTGGTGACTCACGCTGTATACACACACACACACACACTCACACACAAGAGGCCGAGCTGTGTAAACAGTTGGGAAGCCGGGTTGTGCAATGAGGTGGCTGAGATGACTGCGGCCCCGCTGCCGGGTGAGCAATCACCGGAGCGGAGGGGGGCGTTCGAGGGTGGAGTCGGGCCGGCTTGGGGGCTGGGAGGGTCGGGGGCCGGGATGCTCTAAGCCGCGCGCCGGGACACAGGTGGTGAGTCGGTGCCGGCTGGGGCGCGCGCACTCGCCCCCCAGGCTGGGATGGGCTGAAGGAGGCGCGCGCCCTAGGCAAGCTGCAGACTCCGTTCTGGAAGCCCAAGGAGCGCACAGAGGAAACGTCCCCGTGACGTCAAGGTCGCGGGGAAGTGGGCGGGTAGGGCGGGGCTCAGGGGACGAAGCGGCCGCCGATTGGTGCGCGCGCCCCATTCACACCGAGCACAATGGGACGCCGCGCGAGGCGGGCGCGCGAGTCCCGGGGCCCAGCGGGAGGGCGCGCGCGCCACCCTTTTGCTACCCCGCCGCTCCTGCAGTCCCGCGGTTACCCTGAAGTCCCGGGGATCCCCCCACCGCCCAGCGCCTCAGGAGCTCGGATTGGAGCCGTGGGCGCCGCCACGCCAGGCTGCAGCCCGAGGAAGGGGCGGGCTGAGGAAGGTGATGAATTCCAGAATCAGTCATTTACCCCCACGCGGTAGTTCCGGGGAAGACCTGTGCGTGGTAGTGGATGTGGCTTTTTTTTTTTCTCCCTTCCTTTTCCTGCCCCCTCCCAGCTCTAATCCCCTGCGTCTGTTCGCTTCCACAAATAGAACCTTCTGTTGGATGAAATAAAAGCAAACACTGGGCCTTCTGCTCTCCTCCACCTCCACGCCCCTCCCGCGCCTGCCGCCCGCCTGGATTGCACGGAAATAGCTTCTCCCCGCTCCCGGGCCGCCCCTTCGCGGTGACTCGACGAAAGAGCTTCCTGAGCCAGGGCTGGTGGGAAACAAAGGATGTGGGGAGCGGGCGGAAGAGGCCCACGTGGCTGCCGCCGGATTCCTTCCCCCTCCTGCCTCCACACGCTCGCAGCATGGTCTGGGACCTGGGTGCCGGCCCCAACCCCAGGATGGGTGGCTGGGTAAGGGGTGGGGGTCATAGACTGTGTGTACGTGGGTAGCCTAGCCCGGCCGTATGCGTGCCTCCGTGCAACGTGATTTCTTTATAAACACCCGTTGTGTGTCACAGCCTGCACAGAACTCCAAGAAAACGACTTGGAATCTGTCGGGTTTTCTTCCTTAAGAAAAAGCAGGTCAGTCTACAGTCCCTGGACACTCAACATAGAGATAACTATTATCAGAGTCTTTGCACATCTAGCAACCTAATTTTCTAAAACCAGGACGAGCCCCGAGGATAATTCCCTGTCCCTATTCATTCTCCATTCATTCAGCATTCACTAATTAAAGCCATCTACTGGAATCCTGGCGTGGCGCTGTAGGATCAGCACTGGACAGCTAACCTCAAGGTTGACTGTTCAAAACCACCAGCTGCTCCTTGGAAACCCTGTTGTTAAGTGCCATTGAGTGGGTTCCAACTCAGCATCTCTGCATAGGGTTTCTAAGGAGCGACTGGTACAGGGTCGCTATGAATCAAAAGTACTCAAGGACACTTAACAAAGGCTAGATGCAAATTCAAATTATAATATTTAACAACAATGATGTGTACTCCTGGTGTGCGCTGTAGAATCAGCACTGGACTGTGAACTTCAAGGTCGCCTGTTGAAACCCACCAGCTGGTCTTTGGAAACTCTATAGTGGGTCGTTTTGAGTCAAGCCCACTCAGCAACACTGAACAACAGCATCAATGGTGGCCTACTATGTGCCTGACACATTTACATGAATTGCTTCATTCTTATAAGAACTTCTGCCCCATAAGGTTTTCTAGGCTATATATAATCTTTATGTGGGAGTCCTGGTGTGGCACTGTGGGATAAGGACTGGACTGCTAACCACAACGGTGGTGGTTTAAACTCACCTGCCGCTCCTGAGAAACCCTATACAGGGTCACTGAGTAGGAACAGACTCTACAGCACTTCACAATGACAATCTTTATGTAAGCATGTGACCAGGTCTTATTTCCCACAGGATCTTCTGATGGATTTGAAGTGATCTTTTGGTTAGCAGACACTGGAGTGGTGAAATATTAGTAAGTTTTGATGGTGATAGTTGCTTACTACTTGCACCCAACTCATGGTGATCCCAGGTACAACAGAACTAAGTACTGCCAGGTCTTGCTTGGGCTAGCCCCATGATCGGTTGCAGATCCAACTGCTGTGATTCAGAGGGTTTTCCTTGGCTGCTTTTCAGGAGTAGGTCACCAGGTTTTTCTTCCTAGTCTCTCTTAGTCTGGAAGCTCTGCTGAAAACCTGTTCAGGCATCCTAGCAATATACAAGCCACCACTGACAGGCAGGTGGTAGGTGTGCATGAGGAATCAACCCCAATTTCAGCGTGGAAGCAAGAATCCTACCCCTGAGTCACCACTGCCCCTATGCCTTTCTAACTTGGTGTTGTTACGTTTTGTTAACTTCATCCTAACTTATGAAGGGCCCATGTCATTAGTTACTTTCACTGAATTCTTTCTGTTGAACTTGAACCTGGACTTCATCCTCTTGACAAACCCTGATGGATACAAACGCTGTACCTTTCCCATGCCCGTCCCACCTCTCCACTCTCAAGAGCTGGGTTCAGGACCTTCACCTGGACTTCTGCAGTAAGCTCCTAATGGGGTCATTCATTCATTCTGTCAATGAGCATTAAGCACCTACTCTATAGCATAGTGGTTACAAATCGGGCTGCTAGCCTCAGGGTCAGCAGTTCGAAACTACCAGCTGTTCTGCAGGAGAAAGATGAGGTGCTCTTCTCTCATAAAGATTTACAGCCTTGGAAACCCTGTACAATCACTATGAGTCGGAAGTGACTCCACGGCACATCACCACCACTTCCATCTATACTAGAATGGAGGCCTGGTGTGGCGCTGTGGGTTCATGCGCTGGACTGCAAAGTGGGTTTGAACCGCAAGGATGGCAGTTGAGCTCACCAGCTGCTACCTCTCCAGGGTACTATATGTCAGAACTGACTTGATAGCACTAACAACATCTATGCTAGAGTACCTACTATGTGCTGGAAATGTAGTGAACATGTGTCCTTGATCCTCTCAAAGATCCCCATACAGCTGTCAAGAGTAATTCTTCCAAACCTTGAACTTGATCACTTCAGGCCACAGAACACAGCCAGAGCCCTCAGATCAAATCCAAACACCATCTTGTAGAAAGTAGGCCATTCTGCTCCAGGGCCTGCTTCCCTTCCCAGCCTCACCTTTCTTGTCTCATCAGCTCCACCTTACCCATGCTGGCTTCTGCCAGAGCCCCAAACGTGTCATGCCAATTCACAGCTCAGCTCTGCCTGTGCTCTTCCTCTCTCCCTGCAATTTCTTCCTCCTCCCTGGTCAACTGTCTGAAATCTTACTCATCCTTCCAGCCTCCTCCCCTACATCCCACGGAAGCTTTCCTCAGCATTTTTATGTCTCCCCGCCCCCAGCCCTACCCTGACCCAGGGGCTGTCTGAGTTGCTGGATCCAGCTAGCTCTTCTGGCCTTTCCCACTATGGTCCCAGATAGCAGGGACCACGTCTTCTTCAGCTGTGTGTCTCCAGCCACTTTGTAACTGTGTCTGATCCATGGAATGAATCTACTCACCAGCAGAGGGAGAGGCCGAGATGACAGCCGGGAAGGGGGACCGACATTCAAGCAGAAGCAGAAGGCTATAGGGTCAGGCCCAGAGTTCAGAGGTAGCATCCAGCCTTGGAAGACAATTAGACATAGGCTGCTTGGGAAAGGAGGGCTGAAACCTTGGGGTCCTCCATCCTTGACCCTGGTGACTGGGCATTCATCCTAGGCAGAGCTGGAGATGGTGTCAGCTGAGGGGTGAGTAAACCAAGCTTGTTTCCAGTGCTCAGTTTCTCCTAAAATTGTCTTAATTTCATTGCTGGGGCTTCTCCTATTGGCAAAGTCTAAACTGCCATCAGACTTTGACTTCCATTTTTTTGCCTCCATTTTCTCAGCTATGAAATGGGCAGAGTAAAGGCCTACCTTTCCTCCTGTACAAGGTTCTTATGAAACAAATATATATGTTGTTGTTGTTATTGCTAAATGCCATCAAGTTGTTGTTGTTATGCGCCATGGAGTCCGTTCCGACTCACAGTGACCCTGTACAGGGTTTCCGAGGCTGTAAATCTTTACGGGAGCAGAAAGCCTCATCTTTCTCCCACAGAACAGCTGGTCGTTTCAAACTGCTGACCTTGCGGTTCACAGCCCGATTCATAACCACTACACTACCAGAGCTCCTTAAGTGCCATCAAGTAGG